CCCCAAAACCCCAAAACCCCAAAACCCCGTCATCCAAATTTTAATTTATTTCAAGAGTGATTTATTGATATGATATTTGACATAATAATTAAAAAAACTAAGTTGATCAATAAAATGGACTAGGCGGTTTAGCCCTAAAATGAGCAAAAAAAGCGAAAGCATCTCATACTATACATCCTAGATATACCTTACTTTTTGATTGTCTTCTTGCTCTACAAGGTCATAGCCTCAACCTTTTACCTACCGTTGTTTTTAGCGTTGAACTTTGTTTAGGTAAGTAAAGAATAAATGCTATTATATTATTTTCCTAGTGTGAAATTTCATCAAGTTAAATTTATTGTTTTTTATATCTTAAGCTAATAATACCTTTAGAGCTTTGTGTTCATTAAAATAGACAAATGCTCACTTAAATCTCATATGTTGTATGCTGTTCCAAGATTTGTCTTTTTCATCATTCAAGCAGTTTTATATATCTTCTATTCTATGATACCTTTGATTCTGATATAAAGATATAATATCTTGGAGAATTTCGTCGGTATTGAGCCAGATAGCTATTGGGTGAAGGGATTGAATTACGGATCTGCCTACATGCTCTTAGATGTCCTCTAATTTGCAACACTAAGAAGATTTTCTAAAAGTCTATTATTTGGAATGGCTTTAAAGCCATAGCCTTAATAAAGGAAAGCATTTGTGAACAGTGTGATGTGGATTCTTGCTCTCATCTTTACAATTGTAAGTGTTCGTACAGACTAAGCTATTTTTAGTTGAGCGCCTTTTCCTATTACGGCTATGTTAAACTTACAACTGAATACCAAGAGAAGATTCAGCAAAACCCGTAGGATTCCATCAAGTGCAAAGTATTCTTTACTCATGCTTTCAACTGCATGGTCATGGGTTAGGTCCAATTACTACTAAAGATTCTTGAGTTAATTCTCTACGTGGTTGTCATGTTCTTCAAGTTTATTATGGTCATATTTCCTTGGAGGAAAACTATTCTTGACGAAAAACTAAAAGATGGTAAAATAATAGCACCTTATTTACTATAGCCAAGAACATTTACTAAGGAGCAGGGTTAATTGTTTTAGAGTCTACTTAAACGCTAATTGATATTCCAATATTTATTATTGGAATTTTAGTGGCTATTCTGACACCTTACAGAATAAAGTATATGAGAAGAGATTATAATGAAAAGCCAGCTGATTAATGGAGAGGTCAAATAGTTATATATCTAGGTAGGTGCTTCACTGACATCCCCTACTTTTGCATGCTTTTGGCAATTATTCTCAGTGTTTTCATGGCTAGGAGATTATATCTTGAATTAGAACTAAGGTATCTACCCTATTATAATATGATGAAATTATTAGGATATATAATGAGCAAAAGGAACTTGGAGATTTACTGAAAGAGGAAATATTGAAACATTTTAAAAAACTTATGAAATTTTACTTTAAAGTCACTTGCTTATCAGTCTTGACTGTCTACAATCTAGTATCAGTATTATTTTGCTTGACCCGAATTAAAAGAAGTTTGAGATATTACAAGTCAACAGTAGAAGAAATTAGAAAAGATTTCATAGGTATAAATATTTGATAATCATTTTGCCTCATAGATTCTGATTTATTGTAAAATGTTATTGACTAGTCCAATCAAAACTATAAGGATGCCGTTCTGGATTGCATACTAATATTAGTTATCAGCTATTATCTGCTAGTAAGTCTTATGATTCCATGGAGATATGAATAAATGAAGGCTGACTACATGAAATATAAAGAAGAACTAGACAAGAGTATATGTATCTATTTTTAATTTAAATGCTTAACCACTAGATGAAGATTTGCCTGATTAGATGAAGGCTATAGAGCTCGTGGGCAGAATGATTTTTGTTAATCAGGAGAAATTTAGCATAGATTATAGTCACTTTTTTATAAGGAAAATGATGATGAGGATATTGATTTGGAGAAGAGATATCTACGATTAAGAACTCGAGAAGGGTATCCATTCATAGCATAATTACACTTTAGATTAAAAGGAAAACGAAGGGAAAGATCAACTTTAAATCATTAGACAGCAAGGACTTAATTCGATAATTGAGCTATTTTTCCTTACCCTTTGTATCCCAGTGTGCATTCTTCAACCTTACAAAATCAGATGTTTATATCAAGATTTATCTCTCAATCATCCTGACAAATGGGTCTCACTGATTAAGATATACTTAAAGGGGCTAATTACTGATCTTCCCTATATTATGATGCTTATTTCTTTAATTCCTTCAGTGTTTTTCGCCTATAAATTGAAAAGATCCATCGATGAGAAGTATGCTTACATTAAAATCATAACAATTTCTAGGACTAAAGATGGGAAGGTTAGAATGGAAGATATACTTAAGCAAGAGATATAGAGACATTTTAAAAAGATGATAACTTTCTTTGTGATAATTTTTGCAATGACCATTTACTTAGCTATCTACTCCTTAATATCTTTATTTATGCCTTGGAGATTTGCTTAAAATATGATTGAAATATATGAATTAATCACAATCCTAAAAATAAACTACAAAGGTATCACATATTTAGTAAAATTATGTGTAAATATAGACAAAAGAATCTTTAAAAGGGTAAAAAATAACATAATTCAGAACATAAAGAACTTTTTCATGGATATTTTGATGGCATTTTCTCTGATCATCTACGCTATTTCTTCAGTTTTAAATATCTTTAGATTCAGCTAATAGATTTAATTATTCAAAGTTAATTAGAAGACCTTCTTTGAAGAATTTAGTGAATAAATTTTAGAACCAATAGCTTATCTGTGAAATAGTTTTGTAGCAATCAAAATAAAATTTGAAAGACTTTGTATTAGACCTACTTGTAGTAAAATTTTGCCTTCTAAACTTGTTACCTATCTGGAGATATAATCTACTATTCAACAGATATAAACTTTAGAAGCTAGAGAGAAAGGACTTAGTGATAAGTCCATTGCAAAGCTTATTAGAACTGCCATCTGTTCTAACTGCATTATTTATCTTAATTATTGGTCCTCAGCGAATAGTTTTTACCTATAGAAAGATCTTGAATCATTAACCTCTTTATCCAAATTATGGTATGATTTGACAATTAATTCAGCAAATTTATAGAACTAAAGATAATGAATAGTGAACCAATCTATTTCTGCCTTTTTTAAGCATTTTTAGATCTTAAGACTCTACCAATTCTCTTGGCTACATCTTTGAACCCCTTCAACTGGATATTTATAAAATCCTTATTCAAGAAAGAATTCGATTATGCTAATACTACTAATTTGTAGTCTTAGGAGGAATATAGAAGAACTGTAATTCATATGATATTAAGGAAAACCATAAAAGACATTTGGACTTACTTGATATTATTACCGATCAATTTATTGTTTCTTTACTATATCGGTTTATTCAGACACTTGCTAAAAAATAAAGAGAAAGTCTTTAAATAGAAAGAATTTGACGCTGATATCTTTAAGAAAAAGTTGTCTGCAGACTAATATTAAGCTATAAGCTTCTTTGATAATATTTAGCAGCTTTACTTTGATTACATGTACCCCTCCGATAATAGATATGCAGTGAGAATTATTAACAATCAGTTCAAAAAGACTATATGGTACCTACCTATAATAGTCTTAACGCTACCTTTAAATCCTTACAGAACCTATGAATTCTTTATTCTTAATCCCAAAAATGAGTTCATAAATTTTACCTTCAATAATATAAAGGAATTAAATCAGCTAGAAAATTTTAAAAGAAAGAGCATTGTAAGATAGTTCAAATAGTCACTTAGTGATTTCATTGCTTTTGTTTTTATGATTTTGATATTAATTACAGGAGTAAGGGCCTTATATCTGATAGTTATACTTTCAGTTAATGGTCATTTAACCAGATTTAATCCATTTATTAGAAGAATCACAAAAAGTCCTCTGATTATCATAAAACTACTTTAAATAGAGACTAAATTAGCGAATAAATCTGAAGAATTCAACTAAAACGAATAATATCTGAGTATTAAGGAATGCATATGGCTTAGTTTGATTGAACTAGTTATGGATCTTCTTGTCTTGCCTTTTATTATTGCTCACTTTATCTTTATTCCATGGAGATATAAAGAGATTTTCAATCTAGCTGTTTCATAATTTGAGCGTATTCCTACTTAAAGAGTTAAGAAAGTGTAATATATGAGAGAGATAGAAAATGGAAAAGTTCCGAAGAGAGTATAGGTTGTAGGATAACTAATAATGTACATAGCCATTGATTACTTGACTGTATTCCTGTCTATAATACTGGTGGTCACTGGATGGAGAGCTGTCAACACGATTGAGTTTTGGTTTAATCATTTCAGATATAGATTTAGCAAAAATCACGAGGTGAAGTAGTTCATGGAAACTATAATCAAAGACAAGTCCCTTGTTGGCCAGATACTTAATGAATTTAAGTAGCTTCTCATTGACTCCTTTTTCTTTACTTTAACCCTGCTTGTAATCATTCAAGTGAGAAGAGTAAAGTCTCTAAAACTTAGACTATAGGATATATATGAGAAGAAAAAAGTTAGGAAGGAGATTTAAACATTGAATTATCTAGCAAGGGTTAAACAATTTAGTTAAAGTCTTAAGAAGTAAAATTAGGACATTGATAATAATCAGATTGATAAAAAGATTGAAGTAAAGAAGACAATAAATGATCTAAGTAAAAATGTGATGAGTGTATTGCTTCCATTTTTGCCTCATAACGAGATTCTTAAACTTGAATAGACTAGCAAGAAGATGCTGATTATGGGACATCACTGGCCTGTATGGAAGAATATATATCAAGAATAGCATACAAAGAATCAACTGATACCAGAGCTTCACAAGTATATGAATTTTGTAGAATAAGAGAATAATGATTATAGAAGTGCCTGCAAGAGATCTTTCATATACCTAAAAAATAATGTAGCACCAGAAATCCCCTCTGAATTATTAGACTATACTAAAGGTTCTTAAATCGTGATAGTAGAGGAGCTAGTTTATTCTCTCCATGAAATCTCTAGAATATATTAATATCCCATTAAGTTTATGGACAATTTTATGAGCTAAGCTACAAATAAAGCCATCGATTTCTATGATACTAAACTTAACAATTTGATAAATAAGCCTAAAGAGACAGTACTTTAGTATTTACTTTGGATTAATTATCCTCCTACTGTACCAATCGACTAATATGAATAAGAACTTTAGGAGATTTGGTAATATGACTATGTCAGAGTTTTTGTTAATGCTATAAAGCTATACGCTTTGGCGAAAAACGTAATAATTCACTTACAATTTAAAGCAATGAATTGGATAATGAATAAATTGGCTGCAGGTCCTCCTCTTACTAATCAAAACTAACACATTATTCATACCCTTGAATATTCCTTACCAATTGCTGTTCCATTATATTTACTTCAGTTTATCCTTATTATACCTGCAATTTTACTAAAGTATCATCCGAAATTGATAAGTTTTTATCTGATTATATAAAAGTTCCTATTTCATAACCCTGCTTGGTATTTTTCAGAACTCTTTATCATTCTTTTTATTAATTTATCAGCTGAATTTCAGTTAGAATACTAAGACAATTTTAAATGCTAGTACTATATCAAGCCATTTAGAATTTTAACTTTGATTAGAAAATTCGTAAAATACTTATGGAGAGTAGTAACTGGACAGGTATAAAAAGCAGGGACATGGTCTTGGGATAAAATTAAATTACTAGGGGTCTAGCTTAAAAAATTAGCGTTAAAGTTAATCGATCCATTGATAAGAGCAGGAAAAGGAGCAGCTTATTATTTAGGTCTTCTCATAGATATAATATAAAGAGGTATAAAGTTCTTCATTATGAAACTATCTACTGCTGCTAATTATGTAGCCTATTGGCTTTACACAATCATTAAAGGCATACTTGTTTATATCTGGAAAGGAATGCTATTGATATTTGAGTATTTGATAAAAATGCCTATCTAGAAAACAGATAATATCTATTTCTGGACCTTTGAATTTCTACTTAAGTATTTAAAGAAGTTTGGAATCGTTGGAGAGTTGATTTTCACAATATTTGGATTGATTTGGCTACTGTGGCCATTAGTTTTTGGCTATTTGTAAGGATAGCCCCAATATTATATTCCAGCTGTGATATTAACCATTATATTGATTGTTAGAGGTAGAAAAATAGTCTATCAAAACAATTGAATTAAGAGTTAAGTGAATATGTATTATTTAATAGAATTTTACATAATTTTAATCAGCAGCATTATTTACATAATGGGGTTTTGGGGTTTTGGGG